CCCAGCTGTCCCCGCCGTGCCCCCCAGGAACCCCCCCCACCCCGGGGCTGGGCGGGCAGCTGCCTGCAGCGGGCACAGCAAGCAGGGGGCTGCGGGGTGGGTGAAGAGGCGCGGCGGGGAGACGGACGCCAGTCATTTACTCCGGCTGAATATAAACATTTTGACAAGTACCTGCGAAAGCTCATGGAGGTGCAGCCATTAGAGCCCGGCTGCTGCAGGCAGAGGCCATAAAGCGCGATGATGAGGCCGCTGAAAGCAGATGAAATATCAAGAGCGAAAGGCTGGGCCCATTTGGTGGAATCTGAATTTCTTAGTAGGTCGTTTGTTACTAACGGGAGGCGCGCGTCAGGTTTATGGCGCTGGGGAAGCTGCTGAAACCCGAGCGGGATTTGATTAGAATTCTCCTCGTCAAACAAAGCAACAAATCAAAGATTTCTTCATAATTGATGAGCTGGGACAGAGGGGAAGCCGAGCACGCGGCCCAGGCTGTGCTGGATATTGGGGGGCTGTGGCGGGACGTGCGCCTTGTCCTTGTCCCCTCTCCGTGCCCTGATGAGCCCTCCCCTGTGGGAGGAGAGATGCTGTGGGAGGCAATTAGTGCTAACGAGGGAGGGGAATCGTATAGGGGAGGGGAGGGATAGGGTGATGGGGTTGTGTGAGCCTGGTTCTGCTTTGCAGGTATGATCCCTACAGCAAGGTCTTCTCCCAGGAGCACTATGGCCACGAACGCATGCACCATGCTCGGCAGGACGCCATCCGCACCGCCGCCAGCGCCCGCTGCTGGGGTCTCATCTTGGGCACGTTGGGGCGGCAGGGCTCCCCCGGCATCCTGCAGGTACCAGCCCCCTCCCCGCAACCCCTGCCTGGGCACTGGCCGCTGCTCCTGGGTGGGGGGAAGGACCGGTGAGCGATGGCACCGTTGGCACAGCGGCCTCGCTGCCGGAGCGAGAGCGGACCTGGCACTGCTGGCAGCCCGTCGGTTGCTACTGGCTGGGGTCTGTGTGCCCCTGAGCTGAGCAGCCAGGGCCATTAGCAGCGAGGTTGGACAAGGGCTCGTTAAACATGCCCCTCACTGGGCAGAGCTCGCCAGCCTCGGAGACCCCCCCGCACAGGCAGCTCGGCAATTTATTCCCTAGGGT